AACCGAATAGAGCTGCCCCATAAGGTTTCTAAGGCAGTCAATCTTTTACAGAAGCAGAGCGCCGCATCTTTCTCCTGCAGAGTAGTTGGTGGGTTCAAATCGCCAACCTTTTGGTTAGTAGCTGACCATTGAACCAATGAACCACCTCCATTCATGAGGAAAAACTCAAGTTTTAAGTTTTGTACTTTTCCTTATCTCAATCTACACACTTTTCGTGGGTAATCTCATGTATTCCTAGGATTCTCCTATTACAAGACACTGGCAAGCTCAAATCAACTTAAATCTGCAGCCCATGTCAGTCCTGAAACCCAGACCGACATCTCCAGCTGTCTAATAACAAATCTTCCTGGATGTCACACAAGCATCTTAAACTTAATATGCCCAACACAAAATGGATTCCCTTCCCTTCTAAACCCGCTCCTTCTCCAAGTGCCTTCTCTTGGAAAATGGATCACCATCCCCCCAGTTCCTCAAACTTGAAACTTTAGAGTTATTTTGACTCTACTATCTCTTCCAACCTGGACAAATGATTGATTCTCCCACACGAAAGTGATTTCAGTATGTCTTCACTTACAGTGATACAAGCAGGGTTTAGACATTCATTACCATTCACAGCCTGGGCTAATTCAGTGACCTCCTGAATTTTCTCCCTGCCTCCAGTTATTCCCTATTGTAATCAATCTTCTACACGGATGCCAGAGTTCTCATTCTAAAAATTAGAATTCATCACGAAATTCTCCACCATAGAAAAAGCTTTTTTAATGTTTAAAGGACAAAACTCTGAAACGGAGTGTGTGAGGTTTTTCATAATATTGGGTTTCCAATGCACCTTCTTCCAGCCACACACAAATTTTCAGCGTTCTGACTCTGCTAATCAATTCTCTTAGAATGCCTTCTGGTAATGTCCCATTCAAATGCTAAGACCTGGATTAAAAATCACCTTTTTTATTAGCCCTAATTACCCCCAGAGAAAGAGCCCTGGTAACACAGTGGGTTACAAATTGGGATGCTAACAGCAGGATTAGCAGTTCGAGTCCACCAGGCACTCCATGGGAGAAAGATGAGGCTTTCGGCTCTAGTAAAGATTTACAGCCTCAGAAACTCTATACAGGGTCATTATGAGTCAGATCAACTCCATTGTACAGCATCACCACCACCACCAATTACCCCCTGGAGAAGTTTGTGCTTACATCCTGTTTCCTTCCTTCCTTCCACAGCACTTTAATTATCTGTACATTTACTACACTTAACTGCAATAATGTGTTTGACTGTCTACTTTATGAGTTTTTCACAAGCAGAATCTGTCATAGCCATCTCCAGCTCTAGCATCTGACTCAGGGCTGGCACATAGAAAGTACTCAATGAAAGTGTATTGAATAATGACCAGTTATTGAAAGGAAGCTGGACTAAAGATCCCCTTTAGTCACACTGCACAGAGAAAAAAAAAAACTGTGGCTGACTAGCTGTATATACAAACTCAGGAAAAAAATGAGTATATTTTTAGAGCAAACTAACACTTTTAGTGTGTTCTTATTTACACTAATAGCACATTAGGTCAGCTGCTTCCACAAGCTGCAACCCACAATTGAAAGTTCATCTTCTGTAAGGACCAACGTACAGAAAAGTCTGTGAATGAGAATGACACATATCTTAAAACATAATAAAGTCAAAACTTCCTAAAGGGAAAGCATTTCCCAATTGTCACTTAGGGAGAAGAATACAATGATTTTAGAGCAAATGGAAATGGTATTTGGCTGAATAAATAGAGAAGATTAGAATTAATTACTTGAAAAGACGGAATAAAAACTTTTGCCAATTATGTTAAGAGCTAAAAGTGAGTAATATAGTTAATATAAACATTTAATGTAAATTTAAATGATAGCATAACTGTCTTAAATCTTTGGCTTCATTTAAAGATTTTTTAAAAAATATGCAATTCAAGTACTATTTAGAATCCAGTACTTTTCATTTGTAAAAACTATATTTTGCAGGCATAAAACTATTTAAAATAATTCATGACAATTACCTGTGTCTTAGTTGACAGTAACTTACACCTTCAATAAAAAATTACAGGGCACATGATGCTGGTGGTGGTGTGTCCTAGAGTCAGTTCCAACTCCTAGCGACCCTGTATACCATTTCCGAGGCTATAAATCTTTATGGGAGCAGAAAGTTGTATCTTTCTCTGGCAGAGCAGCTGGTAGATTTGAACTGCTGACCTTGCAGATCAGCTAGTAATTCACTATGCTACCAGGACTCCATTACAGGGCACTTACTATATGCAAAGTATTACAGAAAAAATTTTGTTGGTGGTGTTGTTAAGTGCTGTTGAGTCAGTTCTGACTCATAGCAACCCTGTATAGGGTTTCCAAGGAGTGGCTGGTGGGTTTGATTTGGTGACCTTGTGGTTAGCAGTCTAGTGCGTATCCTACAACACCATACCTGGACTCCATTATAGAAAAATAGAGATCAATATATAAAATACGATCTCCATTTTCATTGAGTATAATATCTAAGATGGTATTTACAACCATAATAACAGGTAGAAATAGGTACAAATAAAGTATCCTGCCATTCACTTAGGAAAAGGTACCTATAGAATAAGGTAGCTACAGTGATGTGGAATAATACGGCAGCAAAGGCTCAGTGTTAGGGATGTTTTTAGGCAAGGCCTTAAAACGTATTTGGATATGAATAATAGGAGATAGTAGGAAAGGGCATTCTAAGGAAGAACTAATACAATTGTTGTTAAGTGATGTGGAGTTCGTTCCAACTCATACCGACCCTGTATAGGGTTTCCAAGGAGTGGCTGGTGAGCTTGAACGGCAGACCTGGCGGTTCAAATCGACCTTGCAGTCCAGTGCATTAACCCCACAGCATCACCCCAGGAAGGGCTAACACAATTACAAGGAGTCCTGGTGTGGCACTGTGGGTTAATGCGCCAGACTGCAAAGCCACTTAAACTGCAAGGTCAGCGGTTCAAGCTCACCAGCTGCTCCTCAAAAACCCTTTGCTGGGTCGCTATGGGTCAGAATTGATTTGAAGGCACTTAACAACAACAACAAATAAAGATAAGAAGGGAGCTAGGGATGTTGTTGTTGTTGATAAATGCCTCGGTTCTGACTCATAGGGACGCTGTATAGGGTTTCTGAGGAGTGGCTGGTGGGTTTGAATCACCAACCAGTTAAAAAATGAAAAAGGTCCAGGTAAGATACAGTGAGAATAGTGATAATGAGAATGGGAAGGAAGAAAAGGTGTATTTGAGAGATTCAGAGGTAAAATCTGCTGGATGGGGCAACTGATAAAATATGGAAAGCATGTATGAATGACTGGGAGATGGGAGCACCATTAATACAAGTCATTGATGTAAGGGAGAGGAATAAGATTGGGTGTGTCAAGATTGTTGTTGTTGTTGTTGTTAAGTGCCGTAGAGTCGGTTCCGACCCATAGTGACCCTGTACAGGGTTTCCGAGGGTGTAAATCTTTACGGGAGTAGAAAGCCTCATCTTTCTCCCACAGAGCGGCTGGTAGTTTCGAACCGCTGACCTTAAGGTTCGCAGCCCGATTCGTAACCACTACGTATTGATACTTATTTACAGTCTTCAGGAGACATTGAGACATGTCCAATAGGTAAGTGAAGTTTCAGGACTAGAGGAAAGAGGTTCAGAGCTGCAAAATTTGGAAGTCACCCAAGTAAATGTGATCACTTTAGAGGACCTTAGGAGTCCTGGTGTGGCACTGTGGACTAATGTGTCAGATTGCAAAGTCGTTTGAACTGCAAGGTTAGTGGTTTAAGCTCACCAGCTGCTCCTTGGAAAATCTACACAGGGTCACTATGGGTCAGAATCGACTTGACGGCACTTAACAACAACAAAGGGATGAAAACCAGTGGTCCTCAAACTAGAGTGTCTATAAGAAACTTCTGGGAGAGGCTCATTAAGCCATGCATTGTTGCTCCACTCCCAGGATTTCTGACTCAGTAAGCCTGATAATTTTCACTTCTAACTAGGCTAATTCAATATTGCTGACCTGGGGACCTCACTCTGACAAGCAATGATCTAGATAATCAAATCTTTTTAAAATTTTAGTATTGATTATTTATAACACATAACCGATACTAATGTCAGTATTTTATCTATGTAATTAAAATTGTGTCTCATGTTGCTTATCTATCAATGTAAAAAAAATAAGAAATCCTATTTCTATCTACTTATTTTCAATTAGAAATTATTTTTTTCAATCCTGGGATATCCAAAGGACATGTTCCACACTATGGCTGTGGTAGCAAGGGTTCCAACAAATTCTTACTTCCCCGATGATAGGGGTGGTGGTGATGTGCCGTGGAGTCGGTTCCAAGTCATAGCAACTCTGTACAGGGTTTCTTAGGCTGTAAATCTTTACTGGAGCAGAAAGCCTCATCTTTCTCCTGTGGAATGGCTGGTAGTTTCGAACTGCTGACCTTAAGGTTCACAGCCCGATTCGTAACCACTACACTACCTGAGCTTCTTAAATGATACAATATGGTGGTAGTATGATACTGCTGCAAAACTTTCTGCAGTTGTTAATGGACTTTTGGGACTTTTATTTGGTGGTATCCAGTAACCTTCCTAAAACTCTTTCAGCAGTCAATTATTTATTTGAGAGTTTGGTCCCATACAGGCAATGGCTTGAAAAGCATTTAGCTGTTTACTTTTCATCTTTCTATACATTATTTATCCTTCGGTCTGTAAATGGCTACTTGTAGGATTAGACAGATTTTGAATGCTCTGATAAAAGGATTGGTGCATCCAAATTCATGTATAATCCATAAAAAGCACATGTAACCTACAACCTCAGTTGTGTTGACATATGAAACAGAATCACTAAGCATACGTAAGCAGTGCAAATTATTAACCAGTTAACATCAGCATATTGACTTTTGAGACATACAGTTATGCAGGAAAGCATTCTCTAATGAAAAATATAATTTGTTATATATGAAAAATCAAATAAATTCATACCTTGAGTTGATTTCTCGACTTCTTTCCTCTTTCGGCTCTGGCTATTGTAATTCATTCTCAGCTCTTGGCTGTACTCATGCAGAGTTTCTCTGGAGTTGTATGACTGCCTTGGTTTCCTTCCGTCTTCACTCTCATCAGAAGAACTGGTATACGCTAGATCCATTTCATGCTTGACTTTTGACAGAGGCTGGTAGGGTTTGCAGTCCGTTTGCTCCATCTCTAATTAAGCAAACTCACTTTCACGAACAAAAAGGATGAGGAACTCCTTAATACGAGCAGGCCTATAAGTAAGGGGGAAAAATGTAAACCTTGTTAGATTTGGCCCTTCACAAGAAAATACATCTGGCAGATTCACAATTGGTCCTGATAATACTCTAAAACAGTGAAGAAAAAGACAAACTAGATGATGTGACGCTAGCTGGAGGCAATAATAGCCCCCCCCCCCGTGTTACATGCATACATTGATGAGCATTTAGGATTACTTTAGAAGTTGCAATATCAAATACCCAATGTTAAAGATAGAGTCTTCAGAAATATTTGTTGTTGTTGTTAAGTGCCGTCGAGTAGATTCCGACCCATAGCGACCCTGTATAGGGTTTCCGAGGAGCAGCTGGTGAGCTTGAACCGCCGACCTTGCAGTTCAAATGGTTTTGCAGTCTGCTGCATTAACCCACAGCGCCACACCAGAACTCCAGAAATATTTGTAGTGGTATGCAACTAAAGGACAATATTGCCTTATGGTGTGTGTGTGTGTGTGTGTGTGTGTGTGTTTGTACTAAAAATCAGTGGATAGTTTATGAAGTAGGATATGATTTTAAAGTGGGCAGGCGAATTACTATTAAACCAGCACATCCAATATTTGAAATGAAAACAAATAAAAGAACTACATTTAGAAAAAAACACATTCTTTCCTCTGGTTTAATATTACATTTAAGATGGGATCTGAGGAAGGAAAGGCTTCTGAGAGAGGCAGCTACCAGAGCTCATGAAATAAAGTGTCCTTGAGGGAGAATGAGCTCCTTGTGTTCATATTGTGGCTTTTGAGCCTCAGGCCTGCAGAGCATTTTTAATGAGTTAGACGGTGGTAAATTTCTGTTCTTCATAGTACCGAGAGGATGTAAACAGCACTTCTAGTGAGTATACTGGCATAGGAACATCAGTATCTAACTCGGATTTTGAAACAACAATTTAAAACTTGATGCGTTAGGCAAATCTGCTGCACAAGACCTCTTTAATGAGCTTAAGAGCAAAGATGTCAGTTTTAGGACTAAGGTGAGCCTGACCCAAAGCCTGATATTTTCAATAGCCTCATATGCATGTGAAAGTTGGACAACGAATAAGGAAGACCACAGAAGAATTGATGTATTGAGTTATAGTGTTGGAAAAGAAATTGAAAATACCAGAAGAACAAACAGGTCTCTGTTGGAAGAAGTACAGAGTGCTCCTTAGAAGCCAGGATGATCAGGCTTTGTCTTTTCATACTAGACATGTTGACATCATGCTTGGTAAAGTGGAGGGTCAGCAAAAAAGAAAAAGATCCCCAAAGAGATGGATTGGCATAGTGACAGCAGCAATGAGATCAAGCATAACAACAATTGTGAGGCTGGTACAGGACCGTGAAGTGTTTACTTTTGTTGTAGAAAGGGTCACTGTGAGTCAGAAATGACTCAATGGCACCTAACAACATGAACATTACCAAGGAATTCACAAACAAATGCAAGAGATAAATGACTCTAAAATAAAGAGCTGAATTACTCTTAGGAAGAGTTAAATGATGCCACCAAAGGAGGTATTGGGAAAGAATTGCACTTGATTTTGTTTATTTGTTCAATACCACTAGTTTTAACACAACCACTGAAATTACATTTAACATATATGTTATAAGGTTAGTTTTAATCTGTCGTCTTAGTTGCCCAATTTAAGTTCTTCAGAAGGTGAACAATTGTATTATAGATCCTGACTTAGCTACAAACATTGCCAAGTGAAAATTGTACCAATAGCAAACTTCCAGATATGCATTTTTACAGCCTAGGACTACCTTGAAAAAAAAACAAGAGGTATTAATAAAATCCCTGAGGCAAGTAGTGATGTCCCTGTTATCCAGTTGAGCAAACTGAGGTACACACATCCTATGTCACTTGCTCAGTGTTGCACAGTGAGTTCAAAACCTGGACTAAAATTCAGACAGCTTTCCCCAAAAATGTATATTTGCACAAAATGTTATGCAGTTACAATTACTTATTCAATATAAATAACAAATGATTTTAGAATTAACAGTTGAAGGAGAGCACATGGGTGATTTTCCCTTTGCCATGATATCAAAAGACCAGGATGGTGTCTGTCTACCATATATCAAAGATTCTATAGAATGATTCTTCTCAAATGGGGGGAAATGCAGAATATGATTTCAAATTCTCATTAACTCCAGACATTCTGGAGTCATGGAGGGTGGATGAACCCCTGCAATTGTTGCCCTAAGATAATCTTTAAACCTAAAATTAAAAAAAAAAAAAATCCTCTAAAGTTTTCTTAACACCATACAATAGTTTGACTTAACTAGTAAAGCATGTCTGCCTTGAACATTATGCTTGTTCAAGATCTACGAGGGCACTTCAAAATTTCCGATTTATATGGAATCAAATTACAACAGCAACTTCAAAGATTAGATAGAAAACTTAGGAACCAGCGAGGTTTTTGTTAATGAGGGAGAAACAAGTCAAAAAAGGAACATGAGAATGGTTTCACAACTTGAAAAATATAATCAATGTCACTGAATTGTATTTGCTGTTAAGTGCTGTCGAGTCAGTTCCAACTCACAGCGACCCTGGATAGAGTTTCCTAGGAGTGGTTGGGGTGTTTGAAACACTGACCCTGCAGTTAGCAGTCCAGTATTTATCCTACAGCACCACACCAGGACTGAAGGATGGAGATTAGCACATGTAATTTAATTTCTTAAAATAATTTTCCATCTCCTCAACAGCCCTTTCAGTCATGTCTTTGTTTAATTCTGATTGAGTTAAACAAAGGAGCTATGACTAGAACAATGCTCCCCCTTAAACCTTAGCTGATCAGATATGAAGTCCTTGAAGTGACCCCACAACTCATCTGGTCTTTGGTCATGAGTGTTCAATGTATCAGATCTGTTCTTGAGATCATTTTTAGATTCGGGTGGAATATACTCAGCATTGTATTTTGGCTCTAAGGAATTGTTTTCATTTTCTTCAACTTATATATGGGCAATTCATGGTTTGTATCACAATGGACCTCTCTGGCTTTGTTCTGACTAAAGGAAAATCTTCTCCATGACTTCTTTTCACAGATGTAGTTATTTAATCCTACTTATTACACCTGGTGAAATTCACGTATGTATTTGTTTATGTTTTGCAAAACAGGTATTTCCAGTGAATAAGTCCTTGGTCTTACAAAAATCTATTATGCGATCTCTAGTATCTTTCCTACCACCAAGGCCATATTTTCCAACTATTGATCCTTTCTCTTTATTTCTAACTTTTGCATTCCAATCATCACGAATTTTCAGTGCATCTTAATTACATGTTTGATCAACTTCAGACTGAAGAAGCTGGTAAAAATCTTCAGTTTCTTCAATCTTTGGCATTAGTTGTTGCTGCATAAATTTGAATAATAACAATTACATTAACTGGTCTTCCTTTGAGGTATATAATAAGCATTTTACTATTAATGACAGCATTATATGTCAGCATAGAGTTTGAAGTGTTCTTTTGGATGGTGATGTCATTCCTCTTTAATTTGTCATTACTGGAATAGTATATCATATGATTGTGTGATTCAAAATGGCCAGTATAAGTCCATTACAGCTCTCTAATGCCTAAGATCACTCCTCAGAATCTCTCTATTCAATGTTACTATGAGTCAAAACCGACTTGACAGCATTTAACACCAACAAGGCGTAGAAAGAGCTGTAATAGACTGACATTGGCCATTCTGAATCAGACGATCATATGGTCTACCATGCTAGGAATGGCAAATCGGAGAGGAATGGCAACACAGTCATTGTCAAAGAGAACATTTCCAGATCTATCCTGAAGTACAACACTGTCAGTAATAGTAAAATACGTACCTACAAGGAAGACCAGTAAGTATTCACATTTATGCAGCAACCACTAATGGCAATATCAGTGCATTATAGCTCAGCAATGCCTAGTTAGAGTCTAGGATAAGTACTGGACTGGGAACTGTAAGATCAGTGGTTCAAATCCACCAGCTGCTTCTTGGAAACCCTATACAGGGTCGCTATGAATCAGAATGGGTTCGATGGCACTTAACAACAACAAAAATGCCTAGGATATTGATTTTCAAGTGTTCCATATTATTTTTGACAACTTTCAACTTTCCTAGTTTCATACTTCATACATTCTACATTCTGATTATTAATGGACATTTGTAACTAACACATTAAATTTTAAAATGGAAAAAGTCTCACTTTTAATGCTTAATGTTATGCCTTGGTAACTACGAATTGCCATCTTAAAATCGACCTTATATTTCTGTATGAGGACCTAGTAATTCTCTTGTCTTTGGTGAGTTTATTTGCAACATGCGAAATCTTGAGAGACAGAGAGAGCACGCAGGAGGAGAGATTTCTCTAGCCATTTTGAACCATTTTGGACGTTCCAATCACAGTTATTCACAGCTATGAATCAGCTAGGAATGCCACAATTGTTTAAGGTTATGGAGTGTCCTTAAAAGCAATTTTTCGTTAAACTGCAAAACAGATAGAAACCAAGAGGAAATATCCATCCCTGCCTCTTGGCCCCCAACTACCAGTTTTTGTTTGAAAATGTACATCACTGGACCCAGGTGGTAGATGAAATATCCCAGAATGCTTTGTACACATGATATAAGGGCACATGCAACTCTGTGTATAAGCAGATCTGAAAAGCATAAAATCATAGTATTTGCCAAAGCATTGAAAGGGCTGAGCTTTAGGTTACTCTTAAATAGTTTGCCTTTGAAAACAAAAAAGTGGGAAACAATAAGAAAAAGTAATATTTTAAATCTAGTGAAGTTTAAAAGCACAGTAACACTTAAAAGATGCAGTTCTAAATACTCTATAGTACAGAAAAGACTCATATTTGCTTAATTGAATTTTTCACTCAGTGCCCATCATGGCATCCTAGAGGTCTGTTGTCAGGTAAATATTATTAAGTATGATGATGGAAAAACCACATGTCAAATGTACATATAATGCTATTCACATCAAAACAATTTTATTTCTCTTTTATTTTTATAATGATATT